AAAAAAAAAAAAAATAGGATAGATACAAAGTCAGTTTATAGGACATTACGAGGTGACAAGTCCTATGGAGAAAAGAAAGGGTAGCATAAGGTAAGGGACACTGGGGGCACCAAGGAGAGGTGGAGGGCAGCTTGTAGCAGTAAATAGGATTCTGTGGGCTGGTCCCATGGAGAAGGTGGATTTGAGCAAGGACTGGAACAATGTGGGAACAATCTGGGGAACGGTGTTCCAAAGAGAGCAGCCGGTGCAAAGGCCCCAAGGTGAGAACATTCCTGGTGTGTTTAGGGCACAGCCCCAAGCCATAATGAATTACTGAAGAGAAGGTGCTAGAAAGTGAAGCCAAAGAGGGGTCTTAATGCCTTTAATGCCCTTAATGCCACACAGACCGTGCACCTACTATGCATGGGCACTGCATAAGCGTCCTATCATCCTCACCACGGCTGTGAGAGGTAGACACTGTTAGTGAAAACCATTTACAGATGAGACTCCTACAGGGGGCTTCCCTGTCCCTCAGGTCCTGATACACATATCATTCCTTAAAACATGGACCTCCCCCCGACAAGCAGCCCGGAACTGGCAAAGGAGCAGTCAGTGAGTTCTGGGTCTCTGAGAAATGGAATGGTTCAGAAAGTGCTTGGGACATGTGGAAAGAACTCCAGCAGCTATTAGCATTTAACTAAAGGATGAACTGAAGGATACACAGATCAACTAAAAAGCAGGTGCAAGGTTGCAGAGGAGGGAGACAGGTAGTTCCCCTGGTCCTAATGTGGACGTGGCTGAGTCACTCCCTGGGCTGGCCCTCTGCTGAGCAAGGGCATTCCTGCCTTCATGGAGCCCACAGTCGAAATTAATAACATTGCTCTGCACGAGGGGACAAGCAGTACACTGTTAAGGGCATCGTCTCCCCAGATACCCAAACTGCCAAAGATCTTTTGCATGTGGAACAAACCCTCAGGTTTCCCAAGAGTCTCAAAGAACTGGAATTTTATTGTTGGGGTTTTGGTCTTCGGTTTGTTCCTGTAGATTCCAGTTCCACAGAGTGACGACAGAGAAGTGGCTGATGACACCAAAGAGGAAGGAGAGGAAGGTGAGTAAGTAGGGGGGAGCCCAGGAGTTATAGGGATATCCTTGCTTGGGGTGGCTTAGCTGACAGATGACTCCCAGGAGATACCCTGAGGACTTAGGGATGCTCAGCACTGACCACCCCAACCCACAGTGTCCAGCCAAGGTCCAGAGGACTCACTCCTGGGAACACAATCCCGTGGTCACTTCAGCCGCCAGCCAGTGAAATATCCCCGGGGCGGCGTTCGGCCAGTCACCCACCAGCTGTCCAGCTTGGCCCTGGTGGCTTCCAAATTGTGCGAGGAGACCCTTGTGACATCAGTGCCCCGAGGAAGCTTGCGGAGGAGGGGACCTGGCCCTACCGCCTCCTCCCCTGAGGGCAGCCCTCTGCGCCGCACCCCGCTGCCCAAGCATTTTGAGATCACCCAAGAGACAGCCCGGCTACTCTCCAAGCTACACAGCGAGGCTGTGCCCAAGGCCACCTGCTGCCCAGACTCCCAACCTGAGGAAGTCGAGGACCATCTCTGACCATCCCAGCATTCTGACCAAGGGGGAAAGGACTCAGAAGGTGTTTGTTCAGCTGGGGTGTCTGGAGAGTTCCTGTAAGGAAAGACTACATGGCCTCAGGTACTAAAACCCTTTTGGAGGCAATATATCAGGATCCCTCAACTGGACACCGGTCACTGCCAAGCATCAGGGCCACTCAGGTTCAGAGAGGTTAGTCAGGGTCAATGCTCAGGGTCAATATAGGTCATGGGATTCTTGACATCCACTCTAGTCTCTGACCCCTAGGACAGGGGTGCCTTTTGCTACTTTGGTTGTGGCCACTCCCCTACCTCTGCCTGTCTTCTTAGCTGACCTCAGGTGACCAGCACTTGGGAGTGGGCAGCCCAAACTCAACATCCAGGTGGTACCTGGGGTGTGATGGCCTCAGAATAAACTGTGTCCTTTATACCCTTGAATGTCTTTCTTTGCCAGGGGAGGGTGATGGGAGAGATGGGTGAGGGTAGCATCCTTTGGCCCCATTTACCCACCAGAGACACCAAGGCCCCCTTTCATCCCCAAACATGCTTGAGCACCTACAGGCAGTACGGGCTGAACCCGGGCACCAGGCTGAGTCACACCGGCCCGGCCCTCCCGGAGCTCCACGTCCCCGATCCGGTCCTGCATAATCAAACAAATATAACAAAGTGCAGATAACTGGGACAATGGGGCTGTGTGCTCTGGGCTGTGGGAGCCCAGGGCCGCCACAAGCCGGGGCCGGGCAGCGGGCAGCGCTGCCGGGGGTGGAGGGCGTGGGGGCGGGATTTTCGAGAAACTTGAGTGCTCCCGGAGGGTCACCTGGGGCCGGAGAGGTCCGAGGGGCACCGGAGGCCGCTGCGCGCGGTAGCTGAGCGCTCAAGAAACGGAGGCGGGGCGGGGGTCCCGGCTGTAGGAGCCCAGTCGGATCAGGGCGTGGCTTGGAACTCAGCGACGGATTGGACGCCAGGGAGCGGGCGGGGTGGCCGGGCGGGGGCGCGGACCCTGAGACCACCCGGAGCTGCGCCCAGGCTGCGCGAGGTCACTGCGGTAATTCTCGGGACTTGAGTGACTCAGCCCCCGGAAGGCTCGAAACTGCGTGCGTGTGGGGTGCGCGAGGACGGGGGCGGGGGTCCCGCGCCGGAAGTGGAGAGGGGCGACCGAGAGGCCGTGAGGCCTGGAGGAAATGAGGGGGCGGAGGGGGGGCTGAGGTTCCGGGAGACCTTGTCCGTACCGCAGCCGCCGGGCTCCCCCAGGTGGCAGAGACGGGGCGGGGCTCCCCCAGGTGGCGAGGGCGGGGCGCTGCGCCAAGGCAGGGGCGGGACCCCGCCTCCCGTGCTCTTTTGGCTGCCGGCGCCCAGCGCACTCGGACGCTCCTCGGCTCCCCGCCGCGGTCACCAGGCTATGGGGCTGGGGCCCGCCCCGACCCCCGGGGAGGCCGCCCCTACTGCGGCGTGACGGGTGTCCCAGGTGAGGCGGGTACTGACGGTGGTAGGTGGGCGCGGGTCTCAGGTAGGGCGCGGCACGTGCCTGCGGGGCCCGGGCCCGCCCCTTGCCCCCCTCCTCTCCTGTTCCCCAGCTCCTCCTCTAGCCTGGGGGCGCCGGGAGGCCCGGCCGGCTGCAGCCTCCCTGACCGCCCCCTTTGTCCGCGAGGGTGCCAGGGTCCGCCGACCCACTCAGAAAGGCCCGATGCCCCGCCCGCTTCGGGAGCGCTCGCGCCCAAAGCCCGCCGCCCAACTTCTGGGGCTGCCTCGCTGTCCAACTCTGATAGACCTGGTCACCTCCACGCTCTCGCACGGACAGCAGTGACCCCACCCTGCGCACACACGTCCCCTGGGCTCTGCTCCCTTCCATGATCCCAGCACCAAACAGACCCTCGCTCACTTACTTTCACAGCTCACGCCCCCTTTGTTCCTCCCTCCCCCCATCCCTAGTACAGGTTGGCCGCGCTTGGGCAGATGATTTCTGGTTGGTTTTCAACGTTTATTTGTTTTTGGGACAGAGAGAGACAGAGCATGAACAGGGGAGGGGCAGAGAGAGAGGGAGACACAGAATCGGAAACAGGCTCCAGGCTCTGGGCCATCAGCCCAGAGCCCGACGCGGGGCTCGAACTCACGGACCGCGAGATCATGACCTGGCTGAAGTCGGACGCTTAACCGACTGCGCCACCCAGGCGCCCCTCTTGTTGGTTTTTTTGTTTGGCTTATTTTGCTTCTTTATTTGATTTTTTTTTATTTAAAAAATTTTTTTTAATGTTTGTTTTGGGAGAGAGAGAGCATCAGTAGGGGAGGGGCAGAGAGAGAGAGACAGACAGACAGACAGACAGACAGACTCTGAAGCAGGCTCCAGGCTCTGAGCTGTCAGCACAGAGCCCTACTCGGGGCTGGAACCCACAAACCACAAGATCATGACCTGAGCCAAAAGCAGGCGTTTAACCGACTGGGCCACTCAGGCGCCCCTTATTTTTCTCCTTTAGATTAAAAAAGAAAAAAAAGCCAGTCATTTGATTTGGGAGATATCTTTGTAAGCGTCTTAGTAGTCAATAAGCAACCGCTGCCCATCCCCCCGCACTCCCACCGTGTAGCTTGCTTTTCCAGGTTACCCTGGTCTCCACCACGGCCACTTTACCCTGAGGCATCTGACTTTGAGACCCTTGCCCTTCCTGTCCTGACCCTCCCCTCTGGCCGCTGCTCCTTCCTGTATCCTTCCAACAAATGCCCCCTGCGCTGACCTCTCCCTCTGTGCCCCCAGATGGTCAGCATGGGCCAGTGCTACTACAATGAGACCATCGGCTTCTTCTACAACAACAGTGGCAAGGAGCTCAGCTCCCACTGGCGGCCCAAGGATGTAGTTGTGGTGGCTCTGGGGCTGACTGTCAGCGTGCTGGTGCTGCTGACCAACCTGCTGGTGATCGCGGCCATCGCCTCCAACCGCCGCTTCCACCAGCCCATTTACTACCTGCTGGGCAACCTGGCTGCAGCTGACCTCTTTGCCGGTGTGGCCTACCTCTTCCTCATGTTCCACACGGGCCCTCGCACTGCGCGGCTCTCGGTGGAGGGCTGGTTTGTGCGGCAGGGCCTGCTGGACACGAGCCTGACGGCGTCAGTGGCCACGCTGCTGGCCATCGCTGTGGAGCGGCACCGCAGTGTGATGGCCGTGCAGCTGCACAGCCGCCTGCCCCATGGCCGAGTCGTCATGCTCATCGTGGGGGTGTGGGTGGCCGCGCTGGGCCTGGGGCTGCTGCCCGCCCACTTCTGGCACTGCCTCTGTGCCCTGGACCGCTGCTCACGCATGGCCCCCCTGCTCAGCCGTTCCTACCTGGCCGTCTGGGCCCTGTCCAGCCTGCTTGTTTTCCTGCTCATGGTGGCTGTCTACACCCGCATTTTCTTCTATGTGAGGCGGAGGGTGCAGCGCATGGCAGAGCATGTCAGCTGCCACCCTCGCTACCGAGAGACCACACTCAGCCTGGTCAAGACCGTTGTCATCATTCTGGGTGAGTGAGTGCCCTCAGCTGGCCCAGGGTTGCAGGACCCCTGCTTCCCCCACCCAACTCCCACGAGACAGGGGAGGGGAGGATTTGGGTGGGGAATGTTCTCCAAGGAGGTGACACCTGAGCAGAGACCTGAAAGCTGGGGAAGGGAAGAGTTCCAGGCAGAGGGGACAGAAGGTGAGAGCCCCGCAGGACTGGGCCAGTGTCTCCAAAGAGGAGGCCGGCGTGGCTGGAGAGAAGCAAGAGAGAAGGTCAGCATCGCCTCGAAGGGCACAGGCAAGAGTCAGATTTTGTTCTGAGTTCTGGGGGAAGAAGCCCTTAAGAGTTCTTAGCAGGGAGGAACGAGATCAGTCTGGCTGTTGAGTAGTCTGAGTGGGGGAGGCGGCAAGGTGTATCCCAGGAGGATACACCCCCATACCCCAAGATCAAAGAGTGCCTCTTCCCTACGATCCCCTCCCTCCCCGCCCCAAGTAACTGGCCTGTCCCACAGTGACCTCCTTTTCCCCACAGAACCAGCCTCCATGTAGAAATGCCCAGCACCCTATCTACCGTGTACCGGTTAGGAAAGGTATCCCTCTGGCAGACAGATCAGAGAACCGTGTCCGGCCGCTCTTGCCCTGCAACAGTGGCCATTGTCTGAGCTCCAGAGACCCCTCCAGCCCTGAGCTCTAAGCTGTGGGTGCCAGGCCCCCTGCTAGCCGGCTCTGCTTACCTCAGGCTCCATCCTGCAGGGGCGTTCGTGGTCTGCTGGACGCCGGGCCAGGTGGTGCTGCTTCTGGACGGTCTGGACTGCAAGTCCTGCAATGTTCTGGCTGTGGAGAAGTATTTCCTACTCTTGGCTGAGGCCAACTCACTGGTCAATGCCGTGGTGTACTCGTGCCGAGATGCTGAGATGCGCCGCACCTTCCGCCGCCTCCTCTGCTGTCTGTGCCTTCGCCGGTCCACGCACGAGTCTGCCCGCTACGCACCCTCCACCCGAACGGGTGCCAGCACTCGCATCATGCTTCCTGAGAATGGCCATCCCCTGATGGACTCCACCCTTTAGCCAACCTGGGACTTCACTGGGGTGCTGCAGATGCCAGATCGTAGCCCCTGACCACTCGTGGACGCATCTGGCTCTACCCAATCTGCAGGACAGACTTAAAGGCAGACCCCCAGTCTGCCGTGGCACAACTCCACTGCCAGTCTCCCCCAGGCACACAGCTCTGCCTGCTCCGGGGGCCTGGGGGTGTGGGGTCACCTCTAAATGCGCAGGAGAAAAGTCAGATGGGGTTCAGGAATCTGCTAATTAATCATCTCAGGTTTTGGGGGTTTTAACTGACATTTTCTATTTTTACCACACATCCCTGGTAAACCCTGTGGACTGCTTCCTTGTCTGTGGTGATGTGGGTGTCAAAGATGGGAGAGATGAGGCCACCCCGCCCAGTGAGACAGGGTGACACGGACCGTGGATGCACCATCTGCCTGAAGCTGATTCTTTAGGGGCGCAGACTGAGGGGTGCTGAGTGTGATCTGGGAAAAGGTTTGTGGCCCCTTGCAGCCTCTGGGGTCTTGTCTGTCTGTTGTTAGAATCGAGGGGGTCTGTGGGGGAGAGCATGATATAAGGAGTAAGTCTTTCCACTGAGGTCTCCAGAGCATTTTCTATCATCAACTCAGAGAGTCCCGTCTGTCCCTGTGTCCCAGAATTGTCCGCCTCAGCTCAGGCTAGGCTGGGATCTCCTCAGCCCTGTTCTCTTTCATCTTTGATCTCTGCACGGCTGTTACTCTCTCTTTTTTAAGTCATCTCTACATCCAACATGGGGCTCAAACTCACAACCCCAAGATCAGGAATTGCATGTTCTACCGACTGAGCCAGCCAGGTGCCCCACTCCATTTCTCTTGTTGGAGGTCTTACACGCATTCTCTTTGCCTCGGTCTCCTCTGCCTGTTCCCCTGCCTCGAACTCACCCTCTTTCTCCTGCCTGCCCTTTCGTCTGAGTCCAGGTCATTAATAGTCAGGTGTGTCCATCCCCTTCCCTGCCCCCTGACCAAGGGGAGTAGGGCCCATGGAGCAGGATGCAGGATTTTAGAGTTGCCATTTCCCAGGCTCCTCTGATGTGCCTGGCACTCTGATAAGCACTGTAGTTGCGTTATTTAATCATCACTTGCATCTTGTGGTGCAGGTATGACACTTACTTTCACAGGACAGGAGCTCAGAGGGGTTGCCATCTGGCCTGCGGTTGCACAGCTTCAAAAGACACAGAGATGAATCAAGGGACTAGAGAGGCACCTGGGGAGAGGGCTTTGGATTCCCCACAGAGTCAAGAGTTGGTCACAACCTCAGCTTGGTTTTCCTCCTCTCACCCCACAGCCCCCCAAGGCTCAGACATGCCATGATGAGCCCCCTCTCAGGTGCTCATAAAGGCACCCTGCTAGGTACAGTGTAGACCAGAATCTGGATTCTCTGCTTCCGCTTAAGGGGGGGCAGGGGGATACAAGGTTATAGCCTCTTAAGGTTCACATGCTAAATAAAAGCCTCCCATTGGAGGCCAAATTCTTAAATCACTAAAGCACACATTGCTGAAGAACCAAAAACATCTAGGTCCCTTCTTCACTGAATGGGGCTGGGTTTCCCTTTGGGAAAACTCCCCCTGCCCTAAGACAGCTCTGTGGGGCGGCAAGAATGAACCGGGATGCTGGAGACTTCAGGATCCGAGGTGGGCAGCATGTCTTCTAGGGCCTGAGGCCTGAAATCTCCAGAGATGATGACCCTCCCACCATATGCCTGGGCACAGGCCCGTGAAAGGCAGCCCTTGCCTCTGCGGGACTCCAGGCCCATTGGACAGACACGTCACTTTAGGTGCCAAAGCCACTTCGTATGGGGTGGGGACCCCAAATGGCCTCCCAAAGGCAGTTTTAAGTTTCACTTGCTCTGAGCTGGCCGCTCGCGCACTAGTATCCTCCGGGCTCTAAGGCTCTAACCCACACTCCTCTGGTCTCCTTTGGCATCTTGTCCCATCGATTTTTCCCTCTTCTGTAGGTGTCTCCGCCATGCAAGTTTTGGTCCCTAAAGCTTTCAACCCTCCGCCCCCACTGTTCTCTGAAAGACACTGAAATTGCAAACAGCTTTGAGGTTTCACGTACAGGGCTGCTGAACTTTTGAATGGTCGCCACAACTTCTAGTACTTCCTCTTACTGGGGCCAAGTGGCAGGTTTCCTTAATCGGGGAGCTTCCAAAGGGGTTCTTCACATCCCGCATCACTCATTTGCATTCCCTGCCGTCCTCTTTTGGGTCCTCCAATCCAGTCACACCAGATAGGGTGACTGTGTTTCCTCTCCAGCGGCAATGAGAAGATGGGCCTTGGCCTGAAGGGTTTCCAGAGAGACTGAGGACCCTTGAGGAGCCTGCGTCTCGAATCTGTCCTCAGAGAAAACGGGCTCCAGCAGGTCCTGTGACTTTGGAGAAGTGATTCGTGTCCAGTCCGTTCCTTTTCTCTCACATGATGAGCCTTCTCTGACGCTGTGAGGTCTGGTGGTTTGAAACAAAAGACCTGTGGACATCCACTCTTACTTGGGGTGGGTTCACCTCAGAGCAGACCCTCAGGAAGCATCCTTCAGTAGCTCAGTGACCGCGTGCTAGGGTTTTGAAGGCCCAGACCGGAGTAGATGGAGAGAGTGAATCAACGGGCGATCACTCGTCAGCCAGACCTGGAAAAGAGAATTGATTTCTGCAGGCGAGAAAATCACTCCCTTCAAACCCTCCAGCCACCATCACCACACACAACTGCACCCCGAGGGAAGCGCCGGGAGGCCAGGAGCCCTAGTGCCCATCTGACGAGGCCGAGACTGAGGGGACCATTAGGGGACTGGGTGTTAGGGCTTCTGGAGATGAATGGTGAGTGTTGGCGAGGATCTGAGAATCATAGGGATTTCTGAGAAAGGAAGGGGTGGCCTGAAGAGTGGGGTACTCTGAGGAGGGCGGGGGGTGTCTGGGACACGGGGGCCACTGAGGAAGA